TTAGAAACATACTGAGTACATGTGCATGCATGCCCCAAATCCCAACAGGTTAAAAAGATGGAGAAGAAGGGATTCCAGTATGAACACACCCCATTGGGAGATACTTTCTCTCCTTCTGCCTGTCTCTCTGTCTTTCTCTGGTAAGTGCACATGACTTATGGCAATTAAAAAATTGAAAAAGCTCCAACTCTCAAAAATTTGAGGTTCCTTTAGGTAGCTGAGACCCTGGCTTCTATTATAGCTTCTGGAAAAGTAATGGAAGGAACAAAGACAGGAAGAGACTAAGAAAGAGAGAGGGAATGAATTGAAGAAAGGAAAAAGAAATGAGCTTTCATTATGGCATTTCAGTACTGTTTGATAGGCAATCCCATATATGCCATCTTATTTTGTCTCCATCACACTCCAATGAGGTAAATATTCTCACCATTTTACAGAGAAGGCAATTGGGGCTTGGAAGGGTTGTCACTGCCCAATGCACATAAGTAATATGGTTGAATTAACTAGCTAATTCTGCAGAATTTCATCCTCCACATTTTGAAAAATAAGTACATGCCACATATGCAAAGGCTGAAGAATTCATTCTTTGAATAGAAGGCACCAGTACAAAATACCCTGCCAAGATTGTAGTGGTTAGGGATAGGATGGTGTTGAATGACTGTTAAGTTCAGTCTATCTGGTGTGTCCATGGACATACTAAGTAACCTGGAGATACTAAATAACCTATAGATAAATAGATTCATCCAGAAACTACTACACTGTTAAATTCAGTCTATCTGATGAATACATGGAGACACTAAGTAATCTGGAGAGACTGAGTTACCTATAGTAAAAAGATGCAGCTAGAAATTCCCGATATTCATGCATTCACTCATTTGTTCGTTTTGTTCATTTGTTCATCCCCTCAATCAATTAACATTATTCATGCATCTCCAAATGACAAGTATTCTTCAACTACTAACTATTCAGGGTGGATAATGCCTAACTGTTAAAACAGCCTATCCTAAAGAAAGCCAGAAGGTCTATGACAATGAAACATGATATAATAATAGAGGTTAGTAAATTCTCTGATAGAAGTTCTTGTGAATCAAGGAAAAAGTTAAAGAAAAAAGGCTCATCTTAGAAAATATCAGGAGGGGAGTCACCTGGGTCCGCAGGATGAAGAGGGTTTTTTTTTTTTTTTTTTACTTGTTTGTTTGTTTAAAAGAGATTTATGTTACAGAGCCTGTGTATTCACTGTAGAGACAGAGACGAGAGACAGAAAGTGAGAAATCACCACCTCCAGGGGGGATAACCACACTGCAATATCTTCTTCTCTAGTCTCCTCTTGGGATTTTGGGCATTCAAGCACATGCACCCAGGGTGAGGTTGAAGCCACCAGTTCTGGGACTCAAACCACAGTCAGCCATTTGAGTCTAGTGATATAACCATTAACCATCTGTTGGTCCTGAAGAGCATTTCTAAATATACTTTTTCATATGTCTTCAGCTCTGCATTGGGCCTATCTTCCCTGGGCTTCATCTTTTAGACAATTCCTACTCCTTTAAGTCAAAACCTCTCTACCTTTATGAACCTTGGTCTTCTCATGAATCAAAGGAGTAATCTATTTCATACTTATAGCTTCAGGTGCTAGGACACTTTGAATGAGAGTATAGCATTCAATCCATAGACCTTGAAACTAGGCAGAGGTGGGTTGAATTGCCGAATGTTTCTGTCTATATGTATGAACTTGCACAAGCTAACTTCTCTGTGCCTCATCTTGCTCTTGTATGAATTGGAGTAAAAAATAGTATGGGGCCAGCCCAGTAGTGTAGCAGATAAGTATCACACAGAGGGAGCATGATCCGACATGGCTGATCAAAGGATGAATTCCAGCCATGGTGGCTTGAAAAACACACTGGACCTGTGCGTGTTTATGCATGTGGCCAAAATCCTGACAGGATGGTGAAATAGAGGAAAAGAACTATGGCATGATCCTGCCCCTTTGGGAAGGTTCTCTCTCCTCTCTCTCTCTCTCTCTGGTGAGTGCACATGCCCAATAAAAAAGATAGCACCTAAATCATAGTGATATTAAGAATTAAATGAGGTGAAATCTAGAAGAACAGGGCTTAGATCATAATATCCACTTAATACGGGTTGTGGAGCCAACGAAAATGAAGACAATGATAATGGTGATAATGGTGGGGGTGGCGGCTATAATGATGAAGACAAAGAGGAAGAAGAAGGATAATAGGGCGTTGGTTGTAGAGGTAATCATGGTGGTGCTAGTTGTGGTGATAATGATGGTGATGATAGTGGTGGTGCTGATGGTATTGATGATGGTCATTATTGCCAGGAATAAAAGACAGTCTATTCTTCCTGTACACCAAGGCGGGAACAAAAGCCCCTTACAAAACCTGTTCAGAAAGGGCTCTGGGATCTTCATCATAAGGTGTAAACATTCTACTCTTTCCTTCAGCTTCCGCTGCCTGTCTCCTTCCTCAGTTATTTTTTCATACATAGGGGCCCTGTAGTGAGACAGGTAGGGCGTGCAACCCTGAGTAATAGTGGAAAATCCGAAAACTTGGAAAGATAAATAGGCTCATGCAGATAGCATAAAAGTCCTTTTTCCAAACTCACGTCAGGTAAACCTCAACTGACAGAAACATGTACAACCACACCAAGACACTCCTACAGATGGATTAAATTAGCTCTCAGATAAACAGAGGGAGGGAAGGGCATCAAATCCCTGGTGGATCTTAACTCAGCTGTTTTCTACTTTTTGAACCTTTACCAAATGCCTGCCGGCATCCCTAAATTTGGGCTGGGAATGGACTCCGAGACCCAGAGTAGAAAGTCTGGTTAGAGTCTATAGAATGAAAGCAGGTGATCCTCTCTATTCTGGCCCTTGTACATATTTGTTCACTATTCTCCAGTGTCTGATTCTGGAGGGAGACAGAGGTGTCTACAATATAGCATACTTCAAAAAACTTAAGGAATTGGTCCTCACATCTCATGTTTTCCTTCATATGTCACATTATGTGTGTATTGGGAGAAGGCAGATGATGCCAGTAGGAAAAGGGGGAGGAAAGATGGTAGATTTTGCACTGCAAGACTTATTGTCAGACCTTCAAGTTAGGCTTTTTGCCCCAGATGTTTAATGTAACTCAGTCTATACTGAGCTGGTCCTCTAAAATAGACACTGCATTCTACATTGTGCTCTGCTACGCTAGAAGCCTGGAAGAGGAGAAATCATTGTCCATTGGTAAAATCATCCCTGCTATGAGATAGATCCCTTCTTTTATAAAATAAATATTTAGTTATCCTCCTGTATGTGCCAGGCACTGTTCTAGGCGTGAGAGATCCAACATGAACCAGAGATGCTCTGAAGCAAAGCTCGAAACCCAGCCTTAGCCTGGAGTCCTGTGGTGCCCTTTGTTGCAAGCTCACCAAGATATCTAATCACTGTTTAGCTCCCATATACATGTGTCTTTAGGGTGAGAATGGGCTGGTCACACAAACGTTGCACATTCTGGCCCATATGACTGCTCGTTTTTAATTAAAATAACCAACTGGCACTGAGCCAGGAGACCAAGTCCTGATTACGTAGCCTTCTGTGCCTGGTCCCTGACACAGTTACCTTTCACTACAAACCTAAGCATGTGCCTCTAGGTTCTTTTCTTTTTAAAAACTTTTTGGAAGGAATAATTATAATCTAGCATGAAAACTGAGACATCTATGGGGAACTGAGAAAGGGAGTTTCTAAGATTTTTACAGTAACCCCATTCCTGATACTGTATTATCTTCCTTGTTTTGTTTATCTTGCTTCTTTCACCTACTTTTCAAAATACAATCATGTTGGATTTTATATTATGAGCTGCCTTAAACCATTTCCATAAAAATTGCTTGTTTTCAAATCCTAGCTTCTCTACCTAACAGCAATGGAGCTTGGGGAATTTATTCTCCTTGAGATGAGATTAATGCTCACCTCACAGCATGGCGGCAAGAAATAAATAAGATAATGCATAAAGTAATTAGCACCATGAATGCACTCAATATATTTTAGTTGTCATTATCATCATCATGATTATTATTATTAAAAGAGGCTATAAATAAGTGCACATATGCATACCTATAAGCTCAGTCTGAGGGGGTTGGGAAAAGTACCACAGAGAGAGGAAATCTTAAGCAGATATTTAAAATTAACCAAGGATTCCCCAAGTGACAGGATGGGGAAGGGCATATAGGTGAAGGGGAATAGCAGCAACAAGTTAACTGAGAGGGGAAAGTGAGGGCAAAGTCAGGGGGCTGTGAGCACTGTCATATCCCTGTGGCTGTGGCATGGCGGCGGGTGATAGCAGGAAGGCTTATTTGCCTCTCTAGGGCTCCAAACAAGAGGTAGGTTCATTCATCCTCCAGTCTGCTTGCTCTCAAGCTGTACGGGACATTAGATTATCTGCGAAGCTTATGTTTAAAATGCAGAGTCCCAGACCTGGTCTCAGAAATTCAGATTCATAGATCCAAAGCAGTACTGAGGAATTTGCTCTTTTAATGTGGTCCCACAGTGATTCTATCAGCTCATGTACTGAGAACTACACCTTTCTATAGCCACAAACATGCATGTGCACACACACATGCACATGTGCACATGCACACACACATCCTGTACTCTTCCCGCTTCTCACGTATCTTCAACTCCACCAATGAGTCAAATATCAGCCGAGAATTTTTAAAAGGGCTTTTCTGATCACGCTTCTGTCCCCCGCATTCTGCTTCTCCTCAGCCCTCATTCCTGCCAGGGAAATACAGGCTCATGACACATGTAATGAACACAAATATTATTTTAATCTTATGGCTCCTGTTATTGCAAGTACCCAGGCAAGTTCTCCCTGTAAATGCCAGGGTGAGGTCAGGACTTGGAAGGTCCAAGGAGAGGTGGGGTGATTGAATGTGGTGCCAATGAGGAGTTGGTTTCCTCCGATGCCAATACCATCTGACCTCTGTCTCTCCCCCTCTCTTTGCAGAGAGTCGTCTGCACAGCTGGCCTCAAGTGGTATCCTCACCCAGCTCTGATTCACTGTGTCAAAGGCTGTGAGGTGAGTCATAGAAGGATACTCCTCAGCTCCGTAGAAATTATCCTGCTGTTATTGTTATGATTGTTGCTAAATAATGATGGCTACCATCTACTGTACCTACTAAGTGTTGTAAATAAGCATTTAACAGTATCTTGGACAGGAATCAGCAATTCCATGTCACAGATGATGGCATTGGGATGCAAGATAATAAAGAAATAGACACAAAAACACAGTTAGTGGGTAATGATGTTGAAATTCCAAGCCAGGTTTTGCTGACTCCAAAGCTGTGGTCTACATACAATTGGATATGTAAGGAAGGGAAGGAGGGGGCGGGGGGGATGCCATATTGATTTAGCATCTATAATACATCCCCCATGATATGTTCTTAGGATATTTGCCATTGCAGTCATTAAGAAGCCCCATTCTTCCACGCTTAAATCAGGAATAGCAAAACGAAATCCAGGGCTCTGTGAGTATTGCTTTCTTCCATCTTTCTGGATCAGTCCAGCATTTTGGGGAAAGGAAGCTAGGGTTACCTGGGCACTCATTCTGCTGAGTCGGCAATCTGGGCAGCCAGTGTGACAGCGGAATTTGATCTCTCCTTTGACTCAGCAGTGAGTTCCAAGAGACCCTCACCTGTCAGGCTCTGAGCCCTGCCAACGATACTTATCTTCTCCTCCATCCTTGCAGGCACCCCTCATCTTCCCCTTCCCTCCTTAGCTTAGAGCTCATGGTTTGTGTCTTACCTGGAGCTGAAAAGTATCCTTAGAAGAAATACAAATGCTGGGGCCAGGCAAGAGTCATCAACTTTGAGTGTCTAGAATTAGTCAATATAGAGAAAAGATTTTGGGACCTTGACCCCCCTGCCCTCTGTGTTGAAAGTGATCATTTAGTCACTGTTCATCAAACTTTCAGTGACTACCTCTTATATTCCAGTCACTACTCTAGGTTCTGAGAATACAACGGTTTTAGTAAAGTAAAAATAGTAACTGTGCTGTTCCTAAGTCCTCCATGATGTCTCCCTGTCCCTCATTCATTCATTCATCTGTCATTTTACTAAATAAACAGGTACTGACCTGTATTTGACAGATTTGTTGTTGAAAATGTCAAAATTTTGCTAGGACATGAAAAGAGGTAACACAGATTGCCTCTCCACAAGGAATTCACAGTGTATTAAGGAGCTAGACAAAGAGATAATTCCAAAATGATATATCTAGAGCGTAACCAAAGATGGTATGTGAAACTGTAGAGGCACTGAGCATCCTGGGACTAGTAGGGAAAATATTTTGGAGGGGGTGATGTTTGAGCTAGATGTGAAGATCGAGTTGTTTGCCTGAATGCATTACTAGAAGCAAGAACATGAGAAATACCAGAGACTAGAGAAATATACACATGGCAAAGCTTTTCTAATGCTGTTTTCTCCCTAGAAATTCTCCCTTCTCTACCCCATCTAATTAATTCCTACTCACCTTTATGATCTCGGCTTTAACTTCATTTCCTCCGGAACACCTTCAAAGCTCCCTAACTATTAATAGATCAAATAGTCCTACTCTTTAATAGCATCATGTTGCTCTCCTCCATAGCTATGGTCAGAGTTGAAATTGATCAGTTTTATGCGTGATTATTTGCTTAATGTCTTTCTCTTCACTGGAGTATAAAGTCTAAGGGGGAAGCTATATCTATTTTGACTCATTGTCGTGTACCTTGCCTTTGCACAATTTGTAAACACATGCTAGGCATACAATAAATAGGGTTGAAAGAGGATGAATGAATGGATAGATGGATGAGTATGGCTTGAGAAAAGGAACACATAGGAGGAAGTGCTAGAAATGAGACTGGAGATTTTTTTTCAGGAGCCAAATAAACAAGAACCACCTTCATTTATTTTTCTCTTTTTTCTCTCCTTTTTTTTTCTAGTTACTCTGTTATCAACATAGATCTTTTTATTCTAAGGAAGGGACAGTGGGTCTTCCTCATTAGTTTGTTCATATGCTATGTAAGGGAGAATATAAAGGTCTGGAGCTCGCTGTCAGACCTCCTCAGGTCCTACTATAAATATGGTAATGCAGTTTCATGGTAGTCACACAGCACAGTCACAACAGCACTCACAGCCATGGGAATGCATACTCAAACTGCCAAGCCCAGCTCTTGCCTGTTCCTAGAGCCATCTTGCTAGGATCTCTTTTAGACTCTTACAGGATAGTGATGAAATAATCTGGCATCATAAGTTGAGGGCAAAAAGGCTCTGCAAATAAGAATTTAGAGCAGAGATATAAATGTAAGGAATGTCACATGGGTGAACTTTTTGTGAACATGGGTGTCCTCAGAGCAGTCAGGGTGGGAAAGAGACTGCCAAATGATACAGGTGTGCTGGATGCAATGTTCTTGGACAACTGATGCCATCTTATTTCATATCAGTAAGTCTCTGAGTATTAGAGACCCCACCCAGCACCTTAGCAAAGTGGTTTCATTTTCCCATCATTTTAAAAATTTCACTATTGAGAGTCCTGGGATCCAAAGAAGATAAATCACTTAACCAAACTCACCCAGTAGTCACCTAGTTTTTTGTTTTTTGTTTTTTTTTTTGAGAGGTTTTTACTATAGGGCACATGCGCTCACCAGAAAGACAGAGAGAGACAGAGAGACAGAAAGTGAGAAATCACCCCCCAGGGGGATTGCCACATGGCAATTCCTTCTCCTCCTTTCTCCTCTCAGGACCTTGGGCATGCATGCACATGTGCCTGGCATGAGTTTAAGCCACCAGGTTCAGGACTTGAACTGCAGTTGACTACATGGGAGGCCAGTGATGTAGCCATTACACCATCTGCTGGCCCCAGAACTCAGGTTTTCTAAACCTCTGCCAAATGATGCCAGTACAATTACATTCTTTCTCAAAAACATTACTAAGGGGACTGGCAGGCAGCACAGTGGTTAAAGGTGCTGGATTCCCACATGGCCCACCATGATTTGAGTCTCAGACCTGCCAGCTTGCTTTCTTACTTTCCCTTTCTCTCTCTGTCTCTGGTCAAATTGAAAAATAATAATAACAAATGGAATTAAATAAATAAATAAATGTTTAAAAAGACATTACTAAGGATTGAAGTTGTGAACAGCATTAAACTGGGTGACTCAGAGGCAAAGATGAACCAGGCATTGCCCATGTCTTCAAGAAGCTTATGGTCTTGTACCAGCCACAGAAACATATATAGACCATAGACTATGGTGCTAAGTGTTAGTATGGAGAAATCTAAAAGGTGCAGAGGTCAAAGAAGCTTCTGGACTTCCTCCTGTCATGACTCGGAGTTCTAATCAACAATGAATTGACTCTATCATCTTTTCCTTATCTTTGGAGCATTGCAGTTGCAAGAACACAGGGGAGAAAAAAAAAAAGTCAGTGTATTCCAAAGCAAGCTAATAAGGCAAAGAAAAAAGCATCATTACCCTGGTATTGCCAGAGTGGTTTTGGCTAAATCCGTTTCTTTGAGTGTCAGGGTTTTCAGCTGTAAAGCGGGAATAATACCATAATACCTACCTCAAATGTTGTTCAAAGAATAAAAGACAGAACAAACATGTGATTTGAATACATCTACATTCCTCTTTTAAAGAGAGTCCATCATTATACACACAACTGTTTCAAATTTCTTTTTTTTTGGTGGTGGGAGAGGTTTCCACTATAGGGCGTGTGCGCTCGCCAGACAGACAGAGAGAGACAGAGAGACAAAAAGCGAGAAATCACCCCCCAGGCGGGATGGTCACACCGCAATCCCTTCTCCTCCATTCTCCTCTCGGGATCTGGGGCACACACGCACACGCGCCCGGCGTGAGTTTTTAAGCCACCAGGTCCGGGACTCGAACCGCAGTCGAGTATTGGGAGGCCAGCCATTAAGCCAACTGCCGGTTCCCCAACTGTTTCAAATTTCTATAAACTCTGTTTTGCCTTTATTATTTGGAGACAGTTTACATTTAGTTTCCTGCTATATTTGCATATTTTTATACTTTTATTTGTATATTTTTAATTTTTTAAAGATTTGCTAGAGGGAGCATGTGCTCACAATAGAGAGAGGAAAGTGAGAAAGCACTGCCATGGGATAATGGTCACACCACAATCCCTTCTCCTTTTGGGATTTTCATTATACACACACGTGTGCTCAGTATGTTTCTCCAAGTCTCTAGGTCTAGGGCTTGATCTGCATAGTCAGCCATGTAGAATCCAGCTGCCCTAACCACCATGCTACCACGGGTTCACATATTTTTTTACTATAGATTATGTTTTTTATTACCTACTATCAGGAAACACGAGAGAAGGTGGTCTCAACTTTTCTTATTTCTTCAAGTAAAATGGGTCCTTTATTTCAGGAAGATGTAAGTGATCTACTGAGTGACCTTGCATATCTGAGCATACCAGAGTATATCACTTAGCATAACCATACCCTAGTTGGGAAAACTTGGCTAGATACGACTTGTAAAAGGTAGAAGTGATAACTCATGCAAGGGGTGATGAGATTTGAAACCAGGCAGGCTGACTGTACAGGATTGTGAGAAGATAACAAACAGTTAAATGCCTTCTTGAAGTGTACCTTTCACTCTACCATGCTTATAAGACTGCATTTTCTTCCTGCTTCTCTCCCTTGTAGCCCTTCATGGGAGACAATTACTGTGATGCCATCAACAACAGAGCCTTCTGCAACTACGATGGTGGAGACTGCTGCACCTCCACGGTGAAGACCAAGAAGGTAGGCCTGTGTGTGCCTCTTGGCAACTGCCTACAGCTTGCTGGCCAGGATCACTCCTACTGGCTGGACAACCCACTGTCCTGGTTATGTCAGCTCTCTGTCTTTATCCCTTATTTCATTTGGTTTGTTATTCTTTTAGCCAGTAATTGAGTTAATATCAAGAGCTCAGCCCTGGAAAGCTTTGTAGATATGGTCCTCAAAGCTTAGGATCAGGTATGGAAGCAGATATGTAATAAGTTCTTTTTTTTTTTTAATGTTTTTGTCATAGATCATGAGTGCTCAGCTTTCTTGCCCATCATCTTGTAAAATGGCATTTTTATTTTTTTAATATTTTTTATTTCATTTTCTTTTATACATTCAATCACATTATTTAGCTTACAAAGTGGGATTTTGATTTTTGATAGAACACCATAGGCATAGATTTGCAGCTTAAGTATAGAATAAAATACATGATCTATTCATTAATTTTATTATTTCCCCAAATTATGAAATAATACGTATTCTATTCCTTGGAAAACCCAGAAAGAAGAAACTAAAGCAGTCACTTACTGTTTTATTGCCCAAAGATAACCATCGTTTTTCTTTTTGGTGTATTTGTTAAGTATGAGAGTACATGTCTGTGAATAGATTACTGCATTTCCAGTTTGGAATCCTGTCTGGCCTAATTTTTCTTACTTAGCAAAGGGAATCTTACCCATAAGAATGATCTGATATTAGTATAAACTTCTCAACTATATTTTTGGGCTGGATTATTGTTTATTTTATGGATCATAATTTACATAACTTATCCAACCATTACTGTACCTTTTTATTTATCACTTTTGGGTTATTTCAGTTTCTTGCAGTTATAAATAATGATGTTTATGACCCTATTTGCTCATAAGTACTTTCATATTTGTGATTATTCCTTTAGAGTTGATTCTTAGAATTTAAATAATGAGCATAAAAGGTATTAGCATTAATTTGTGTGTGTATGTGAGTGTGTGTATTTGTGTGGTGGGTTAGACAGAGTCTTGCTGCTTTGTGATCCTCCTGCCTCAGCTTCCTGAGTATCTGAGCCTAGAAGCATGTGTCATTGCACCTGGCTCTGTAGGGTGGGCCAAGAATCAAACCTGGGCCTCCCAGATGGCCTTAGCCTGTAAGTAGCAGCAGCAACCAGTGTGTGCAACGGTGGTTGGGCTGGGCCCAAGGTGCAATCATTTTTAAGGCTCTGGATACAATTTTCCAAACATATAGAGTACACAATAGTGTATATTTTGCTCCACGGGTGTACACCATTTTTGAAAGTGAATGGACAATGAAATTTTTCTTAAAAAGAAGTTTATGGAGAATTATAACACTATCTGACATCAGTTGGAGAAAGAGCAGCTCTGACAAAAATAATTTTCTGCCTACCATAACTTATGCACTAAAACATAAAAAAGCAAACTTTTGTGTGTGTGTGGGGGTGATGAGAGGGACTTCCTTAAATGGATTACTGTTTTCTACAGAGTGCATTAGAGGGATATGAAGGCATGAGATAGTGGTTCAGGTGTAGATTCCAAACAGTATAGTAATACACACACATACACACGTATAATTAGGAATAGTCACCATTTTGACTCTCTGTTCCTGTACTGGGTTTAGTTCCAGCAGTTTTAGACTCTAGAACTAGAGATAATGCTGACCCTTGACTAAGGGACTTCTGAGTCAGTTAATTTATTTATTGGCTAGTTATGAATGTGTTTGCTAGTCTTTTTTTAAAAAATTATCCATCTATGCTATAAATATACTTACACATTTTGTGTTAAAAGCTTCTGTTCTTTCAAATGTTTCTTTCTATTGGCCATGGCAGCAGAAGGCAGAAAGCTGAGCTTCCTTCATCTGAGATGAATGATTGTTGACCATCTCTATATGTCTAGCTCTGAACCAGGCTGAGTCTGTATGGCAGAATCCAGACAGACTAGGTTCTGCCCTGGCAAAACTTGTAGTCTAATAGAAGAGGCTGATACTAAGAGTGAGATAATTCAATTATATATTTAATACTTTGTTAGAAAAGGCAATGAAGGGTTTTATGGAGAACAGTATGAAGGTCAGAGGAAATTTCTCCGAAGAAGTAATATTTACTTTAGACTTGAAGGAGTGTGAATTTTCCTGGTGAGAGTGAATAGTGGCTGGGGCAGAAGGGAGAGAGTCTATGAGAACTATATTTGAAGTATGGACTGTGGAGATGAAAGCCCTCTCTAATGGCAGATTATGACTGTGCCATAGTTATTTCAGTTGTTCAAAGGTGTTTGGGCTTTTGAGATTTAAGATTTTTGAAAGTCTAACTTTTAGAGTAAAAAGGTGTGTCTAATTAAAGTCACATTTCCTACCATTTAAATTTCCTAGTTTAACTTCTTAACAAATTTCAGTGTCTTGAAACTTACTTCCTCTTCCTTGTGTAGATTCAGCAACACCCTGGTTTAATACACAGTGATAGGTAGAGAAATAGATTAGAACACAAGACACCCCTAAGTGAACTACTACATATGTCAGATGCTCTGCTGGATGTTTGGCTTCCATTATCTTCTTTAATCCTCATGTCAACACTAGTAGGTGTATTATCCTCTCCACTGCATACATAAACTTCTTTGGGCTCAAAGTACTTGTGGGGCTTGTCTGCATTCACTTGACTGGTGAGTGGTGAAACCCAAATTTAAACCCCGTTCTGGCTGACTCACAAGTCCTTTTCTTTCTCCTGAATGGGGCTGAGTCTCAAAAGCTGAAAGCATGCCAGGGTAAGACTTAATTATGGGACTTTCATTAGCATGGTAAGTGCTGGGGACTCCGTCCATATTATCTCACTTAGACTCCAGAACAATTCCACAAGGTAGAAAATTGAGGCTTAGAGAGGTGGACCAATTTGTGCAAGGTGATGGAGTGATGTGTGAGATTTAGGATTCCTAACTCCAAACAAATTATAATACATTATTGACAGCTCACACCTTTTCCTTGCCAAGCATATTTTCAACTGCTGTTACATATTTCATCACTACATTAGTCCCATTTTAGGTGTTGTCATTTTATCCTTATTTTATAGGTAATAAAACTGGGGTTTTAAAAGGATTGAGGTCATACACCCAGAAAGTGCTAGAGCTGAGGTGCAAATCTGAATGGTTTAAGCCACACAGCACTGGCCTTTAACTCCACTGACAGATACCTATCCCATTACGATAGGTATCTATCTTCCCCAAGCATCTTGCCCTTCTCTTGTGAGTGAGCTTCTTGCTTCATGGATCTCCTGAATTGGACTTCTTAATATGAATTTCAGGCCCAGTGTTAAGCTCTTAGCACTTTCTCCCAGATTTCCTTCTGCCAGCTTTCTGCCTAAACTTTTTCCTGGTCCTGAGGCCTGGGGCCTCCCAGTTGCTTGGCCCAGCATAATGTCTGTCTGCTCCCTCCATCTTTCCTCCTCTTGTTTGTCTGTATAGACTTCAACTTTCCCCTCATGTAGCTTGTGGGGTGACCTGGACGTGGCTGGCAGACATGAGCAAGACAGTGCAGGAAACTTCTGTCTGTCAGGGGTGTCCAATTTCCCACCCAGACCCTGTCTGCAATGTAAGGCAGACAGGAAGAGGTAGGACTCTGCTTTTCAGGATGTCAGTTTATTATTTTCCTGTTGGAGCCATGGGGAGCCTTGAATGCGGAGCACATTTCCAGAATGGCTGCTCCAATTATTTCCCTTCATAACAACATCCAAAAGAAAAAAAAATCAGTTTATAATTGGAATCATTTTAAGTAAGCATGTGTTGAGGCTAGGAGAGAGGGAGGGAGGGGAAACAACTTTAACATATTCAACATATCAAGGCTATCTAAGATGTGGTCACATGGAACACTAATTCTGGTCATGTTTCAGATGGCTGCTAAGAGACTGATTCTTGGAAGATATCTGGGGAGTTATGGTGTAGTCCCAGCTCAGTGACGTATTAGCTGTGTGACTTTGGGCAGGCTAGACGCACCTTGACTTTTTTATCTCTTGGTATTTGGATTAGATTCATGTCTAAGGACTCTTCACAGGGTTTCCTGGGTGAGGGAGATCATTGAACAGGAACTTGAAGGCTAGTTAGGACTAAGACCAGTAGAGAGTAAGAAGCAATTAATCCCAGTATCAGATATTATAAAATGGTGTATTATTTATTATCAGAAAATCCCTACCCCTCTCAATGCTAGTGTGCAAATTTCATGAGGACATGAATGTACTTCTCCTGTTTACTGATATATTCCAAGGCCCAATGTATTTCACTGCATCCTGTCCCGTAGTAAGTGCTCAGCACCCACAGGTGAATACTTGTTGACTGTGTGACAGGTGCTGTGATAGGCCATGAGCAATATAGGCCTAGCCCCAGTCATGCTGAGATTCCTCCTATGGATGAGTAGCCAGACATTTAGAGTGTATTAAGTGCTAATAGAGGCAAAGCCAGTGCAAAGGGTCAAAAACTCGACACTAAAAATAAGACATCAAAGGCCCAGAGAGCTTACCCAGGCGAAAAGAGTAGGAAAGGAACAGAGAGAGAGGTGGGGGTAGGGGAGTGTTTCTGGAAGAGGAAACAATCAGTGCAAAGGTCCAGATATCAGAGAGAACGTGAAAGACATTATAATTTTTTGAGTTCTCTAGTAGAGTCCAAGAGAGACAGGGATAAGAGACAAACTTCGAGTGATCAACAGGGCTGTTATAACCAAAGTCAAAAAGTTTGAACTTTATCTAGAGATCAGTGAAGACATTCAAGGAGGACTTTAAACATGGAATCAGTCTATGGCATTCTAGAAGGCTTCCTGGAAGAGATTTGTTTTACTTTAAGGAATATCAAGAGATTATAGGCAGATGGCTAAGCGAATTAGACTAACTGTCTAATTGCCTTACAATCACTAGCTTTTGAAATTTAATGACCCCACCTTATTGGAGGATAGTTGTAACATTTTCATTTGTATTAAGCAGATATTCATTGTAGCTTGATCCTCTGAGAGAATTCAACTTTTCT